AACCTTTTAATGCATGTATGTATTGGCCAGTTCGAAAAAAAAAGATGAAAATATTGCAAATAATGCTCTATTTTCATTTTATTTTTGTTTATCTTTAATGCAAATGTTTCTGTTTTTTGTTTATATATTTTAAATACTCTAAGGCTGCCTTCAAAAAGCAGGTCTTTCTGTGCTGAAATCTGATTCTGTTATACGACTAATTCAATGCAGCCGCCGTCGCGCTTCGATCTGGACGGTTCAGGACCGTTAGATGTGACATTCACTAGAAGTGTTCAATATAGCTGAAAAAAACACAAGTAATAGTGGATGCTGGTGTCTCTGAGTTATTATGAAGCTGTTGAGGGAAGGGAGCTGATGGTGTCATGACCACATCATAACAAAACAAAGAAAGGTAAAAAAAAATAGAGAACAACTATTATCAGAGAATCTGCTACTGCTGTAGAGAAGCCTGTGGATGTGTAGTAGGAGCCACGACTATTTAGACTGCAGAGGCTTTAAAACCTATTGGAAATGATTTGATCTATTATTACTGGTAGAACCGGGCAGCTTGGAGCTCCTTTAAGGGTCTTGCTCAAACTACATATAGCAGAACAAATATGGGTGTGTGTCAGCCCCAAGGTGTAAATACCTGTCTCCATACAGCAACGGCTTTAACAGACACTGTGTGCAGGCCTCATGGAACCACTGGCCACAGCTGCCACACTGCAGCATCTTTAGGTTCCACCTGCAGACCAATGACAACAAAACGGCATCAACAAACCCATGAGCCATGAAGCTTGGTGAATATCACAAGTATTCATCTATCTCTTAATTCTTTCCATTTTTTTTTCAATAAGACTACTGAAAAGTAAATCTAGCATCTGTTGGATCTTTGAAGCGTCTTTAGTTACTTTATTACTTGCTTGATGTCTTAAAGAAAAGGTTATAATATTTTGTAGATATAATGACTAAAGACAAAAACAAATTGCATCAGTTGGATCAATCAAAGCCTATATTGTTGATTCAAATGATTCTTTTACGTACTTATATAACTTAATCATACGTTGTAGATCGGGCATATCCAAGGTCAGTCCTTGAGGGCCGCTGTCCTGCAGGTTTTCAAGGTTTTTTTGCTTCACTACGACTGATTTCCATTGATAGCTGATTAACAGGCTGCTGCTGAGCTGCATTAATCAGAATCAACTATGTTTAAGCAGAAAAAACCTCACAGCACAGCGGCCCTCGTGGACTGAATTCAGACATGAATGGTGTAAATGCTACATGAAAAATGTGCATATTAGCATGTTTAATTTAACGTGATTGTTACCGAATAAATCAATTTAAGTTTACCAGTGACAGTGGGTATCCTAACATTAAATTAGACTTGAGGTCACAAAGGTTAATTAACA